GTTCATTCTTTTTCAATAAATGAATGTTTTTAAAGTAAATGGATAATCGTTTTTAATAATCGTGATATCAATTATTGACCCAAATAATCGAGATTATGATTTTTGCCATCATCGAGCACTCCTATCTCAGAGTACAAAGTCTGACCCTTGACCTTTGGTTTCTCTGCCTGACAAGCTCTACCTGAGCCACCTCTTCAAGTTAACCAGTTAAAACAGGAGAACCATTGTTCCCTAAAACAGCAGATGAGAAGAATTTGACTGTAATTTGATTGCCAAATCCAGGAAACACCAGAAATAGAGTGACAACTTTACATCTGAAGGCCTGAATTGTGAGTTATATAACTCTGAAGAACATGTCTGCACATAGGGTTCCCAACTCGGCTATGAAGAGCAGCGGCAGGAGACAATGAAATGTGAGGAGCAAAGGCGAGGGGAAATGCCAGCTTCCCTGCTCCGTTGGTCTGCTCCATATTATTGGAGACTTCCTGTTCAAAGTCCTCTTTAACTCCCCATAGATGGGTTCAAAGGTCAAATCACTCTGCAGAGTTCATACAGTCAAACAAACAGGAGCTTTCAGAATATGTTATCACTTATTCAAACATGATATTCTATAAATATTCATCTTGAAATCTCTATCTGTAGTTCACTGGAAAAACAAGAGGGTGCCTGAGCAAAGAATTCTTAGCCTCTGGTTGAATATTTTTATAATGGTGCTAACTACATCTGGGCAATTCAGACTTTGTTGTGTGCTAAAATAATTTTCAAATAGTGCACATATTTGGGATGTTATTGTCTCCCATCATATATGTCAACAAGACTGAAACAAACATCCAGACCTGTCCATTTATGTTTTTACCAATTCTTATTCATCTTCACTTTAACATGTCAAAGTGTTGTCTAGTGCTTGTCAGTTCTTTCAGGAATATTACACATTTATTTGGAATTCTGGATTCCAAGGGACAGTCAAAACAACGCTGCCTTATGAAGACATTTAGCTGTAGTAAACTGTGCCTGGCACACATACTGTGAGCCTAGAGTACCATCACACGTACAGTTAGCAGAGAGCTTCCTTCACTCACTGCTGTTAGTATTAGGAGATCGTGGCTGAAGCCCTCTTTGCATCCACCCTGCAAGAACTATTTTTAGCGAAACTCCTCTGATGCCATATCTGGCTTGTGGCATCCCCGGGGGAATCAATTACAAATCAATTTAGAGAACCAAGAGAGCAATCACCTTTAAAACATGAATTTTAATACTATAATTGACTTCAGTCTCTAAACCATTCCCGTCATTTTGCATCACTTTATTCCCCTCCATAAATACTCTTTGGTCCAATGGACTGTTCCGCACCGTTTCAGCCCAAACATTCTTATCTGCGACTGGTCAATTCAGGCAAATTCCCAAGACCCGACAGGAATTTGGCTTGAACTTTTATCCCACCAGACATCTTTATAAAGAGACCGGGCATCTGCTGGGCTCTATTTAGAGATTGGGAGGCTACATAGCAGGGAACAGGCCACACAGTTCAACCTCAAGTCAAACAAAGTCAAAGTCAACTAGGGAAACCAGCAAACCTTTCCAAACCATGCTCCATTTGGGAACTTGATTACATTCTCAACGTGGCAAGCACTTAATGGCACAAGTAGAAATCCCCTGCACAACAATATCATTTAGTCGGTTGCTAATCAAACTCAGGCAATGGGAGTCACTACATGATGAGTAGCTGCTAACCAAAGCTCAGCCTTTGACCCACATCAAAATAAAATACTTTACTTTGGAAGTTCTGCTTTTCAATATCCAAATCCAATGAGGGTTTATTATTTATCTATTATACTTGTTAAAAAAAATCATATACATTTATATTGTTAAGCAGAACTTTTGTGTGCAAAAAGTCTCTTTAATTAGGCCAGGCAGTTAACTGGAAGGCTCAGTTCCCCCATTTAGCGTAAAATACACCCAGGAGAGATGTGCAGACGTGCTCCAGCCAGCTCACTTGTTTTGTATAACTGCACCAGGACAAATGGAGACCATTAGATGCCTCATGCTCTGTGGACCCCTCCTTCAAGTGGTCCACTCCCACAAAGGAGCAAACAGGAAGCACTCCTGGCTGGTCACACCCTCAACTGCATCTGCACACGCCATGTCCACACAGAGCTGTCTAGCTGAAGAGTAAAACAAACATGCAGAAAATGGGAGAGAGATGGGAGAAGGGGCCTCATGCTGTCTGCTAGCTCTCAGGTCTTCTTGCTGGGCTGCCAGAGCTCCCGTGCACACCACAGAAACTCATCACTTTTTTCTCAAAAACACTGTTAATCAGAACTGCCTTATCCTCTATGACACGTCATAGACACACCTGGAACTCTTTTCTCTTAGACATGTTCTGCATATAGATACAGTTCAGTGTTCCCTCTAGGATGGAGTCATAGCAGCGGTGCTAAGGCACCCAGCAAAATGTGAGCGTGGAGCGCGTTGAATTCCTTAGTGTGTGTGCGTGCGCGTGCGAAGTGCGCCCCGCCAATATGTTTCTATGTGTTTGCCAGCACAAGAAAGGCTCTTGAGGCCTAGTACATACAGTGGCAATGTCTCAAGATTTAGCAAAATACACCTTTATTGAACATAAATCCACATAACAAACAATCTAAAATGGTCGCCACTTATCATTATTTTAATTTTAAAAAATCATTCATCATTTTTAGCTGCACCGCCGCTAATGGTATATAGGGGAAACACTGCATTTAAATAGATGTGTGCATAGAAGTGTAGGGGAACAACTTAATATAATTTGTATTATCAAATCATCTGCTGATAACTTTCTATATATATTGATGGACTGAAAATGGGCTATCACTATTTATTTTATTAATAAAATGTATTTTTTTCTAATCAACAATCCAAAACACAAAATATATTTCATGTATTGTACTATAAGACAAGTAGCCCTACTGTTAACAAAGAACTATCTCTTCTTACAAAAACAAGAACCAATTCACACTTAGCCCTCCTTTCTGTTGGCATTTTAGGAAATAATATACTCTTAAAAATGTCCCTACGGGCAGACCTTGCTGTTGACCTAGATGTTCTACATTACTAAGCATTAATTAAACACTCAAACATTAGCAAAGGGACTATGACGAACAAGCTTGATGCAAATAAAGTATGACCATTTTTGAAAAGAGGACACAAACTATCTGGAGCCAGGAGAAACACAGGGGGTGCAACTAAAGGGTATCAAGAAAAGACTTGCAATGACCACAGTGCAGAAGGAACTGGCTTGAAACAAGGTGATGGATAGCTACATTTATCACCCTGATGGCAGAAAGAGAATCACAAAAATGTTGGTGTGGAGATCCTTCTTGAAAAGTTATGTAAGCCTTGTGGCTCACTGTATTGGCCATAGAAGGGAAACCATTCAGTATACGAACCAATAAAGAGAAACCTGCATCCTTAAAATCCTATAAATATTTATTCTACAAGTCACTGCTGGCAGTGTGCCGAGAATGTTGTACTGGGACTGGCTTAAAAATCCATGTTATCAACAAAGTGTGTCATGCATTCACCTACAGTATGCCCAGCCTGCATTGGCTTACAATACACTGCAACAAAAAGCTATAGCAGATCTAATACAAATATAATAAAGAATAACATCATGTCCACAATAAGATTCATATCACAACTTCTAAGCTCCATACACACTGTTCAAGTCCTGTTAAGGCCTTGGTATTGTAATGTGCATAGCTCTTGAATGTCGTTTATTATTGTATAGCTCTTTATCTGTGTCTTATCACTCTTTCTTGTACTGTGGTTACATGTTCATTTCCCCTCCAGGAATCAAGTCTGATTTGATCTAATAGATTACTGATAAAGCAGTGTAGCTTGAAAATATAAAAAAGAGGATTTAGTCAATAGTCCATCCTGCCCTTTTCCAGGCTTTTGAGACAAGTTTAGCAAACTAAAACATATCAAAATATATCAACCATTCCAATTCGTGATGATCTATGTACCAGAATGTTTTGGGGTGAAGCCATGTAATTATAAACTCACCACATAGCTCAGAGAAAAATAGTACTCAATTCCCGCAAAGCAGCTCAATTCCTAAAATATCTTTGGCTCCTAGATTAGAGAGATGTAATAAGATTCAGGGACAATTTAGTTTGCTACGCATCTCCATAAATGTGTTTTTGACAGGATATCTTCTGCCAAATGTGTACAATACCTTTCTTTTATTGATGTTAATATCACACATTAACTAGTTACTTTTAAATCACATTTTACTTTGCTGTCAAAAAGAAAGACAAAACGTTCTCTCATTGCAAATGTGTTTCCTATTGTGGAAAGCTACACTTATAATGTTCTTTTGGACATCTACTGTACCACGACTTTCCACACAACCACCTAGTCATTCTAGGCTCTCTTAAACTGCCATCAGGGATCATTTTTGCACTTTCATTACAGATGGCAGAGGTGAGGAACCGAGATGGTGAAAGTGAAGCCACAGTCCATGTTAACCCACAACAGCTCTCTTCATTCACAATGCATACTTGACACTGAGCCACTTACAACACAGCTGATGGAAACCTGTGTGTGTGTGTGTGTGTGTGTGTTGTTGTTGTTTGGGTGGAGTTCACACAGCAAGAATATTACCGGTTTGATCGAAAGACAGCATCAAATGAATGCAGTGGCATTACTCCAACGATTGTAATTCAAAAGAGTGCAGTATCGTGACAGGTGCAGTGACAACAACATTAGCATAAATGGCAGGCTAGCTTGTTTGTCAAGATTTGTTCAGTCATATATATTATGCCGAACAATATAAGAGAATACTACACTCTGAATGAGCCAAGTTGCACCTGTTGAGCGGCTATAATGTAACAACATGTTGGGCTAAAATTACGCTACAAGCTATGTTTGTCCTCACCTGAACGTGTTTTCTTTAGTTCAAACTATTTTCCTGGGCATGTGTGGATTTACAAAGGTTAATGACCGTAGTGCGGTTTGCTTACCTGAGTTTTAAGTTAGTCATGAATTCTTCCAGAGACACGTTGTCCAAAAGCACAAAATCTGCTTTTCCAAACTCCAGGCTCTCGTGCTCTGCCATGTTGTTACCTTATTTTCGAATTGAAGCTCGCGAAAAAAAACAACGTTTTAATAACTTGCTTTGAAGTTCCGACAAGAGGTAAGCATTGGCGGGCTTCTCTGAGCACCTCCTCTCCTCAGTGGACAATTCGCATTTTCATTCGTCAAATTGTCATTCAGTCATGTTTTAGTAAGGTCAAAAACTGTTTAAAAAATACCCTGTCGCTTCAAATAGAGGAATAAAATGCTGGATATTTCCTTATAGATCCAGTTTTTCTGTTAGAAATAACAAGTTAACCCGAAATATTCCTCATGTCCATGCAAAGTTTCCTCTTAACTCAAAAATGTAACCTTTCCCGTTACATCGTGCGCGAGCTCCGTCCGTTTTCCTGGAGTTTCTCTCCTGTCGTCCCGGCCGACCATCCACCAATAGGATTGCAGCCGCCTCTTCCTAACCACGCCCCTCCTGTGGAGAGGTGTTGGTCAGACTGGTGAAATATTTCTAAAGACCACAGCCCCACTGTTTCTGATACATATTTCAGCGATGACGCGCCACCTCTAAATTGTAAAACACAGGGAGAAAAATACGCAATGTTTTGGCCTCACTTTTAGGATGCCCTCTGTTACCATAAAAGGAAAAACAAGGTCTCATCAGTGGGATATGAATGAAAGGTATGGATTAGATACAGTGAAACTGCAACAAAATAGCCTGCTAACTACTAACAATTACACTTTCAGGGATCAGTTAATATGACCTGCCCATGTTCACTCTGATGAGGCCTGTCCTCCTCTTTTAAAACAACTGTACAAGAAGCTGAACACCATTAACACACTGCCACCAGGCTTACACTGATGTCAGTGCGCCACCTTGTGTAAAACACAGGCACTGCACATGCCTTCTCTAAAAATATATTGAATAACTTGGATGGTTTGATAGATGGATGGATTTATTTTGCATTTGTAAATTTATCAGGGGCATGGCAAGGGTATTTTCTGAAAATGAGTTTGTTAGGTGTGGGCTTGTAATTTGTATATATATGTTATCTGGATCCTACATAGAATATAATTTGGAGAAAAATAAGTACAACATTCAGACTTGAATATGTTGTATACGTTTTTGTCCTGACAAAAAGGCACATATGGAGGAGTCATGAGACTCGCCCCCCCCACCGACTCCCCAAAAAAGAAAAACGTACTTCTTTTCTTTCTCTTATGTCTCAGGGAAACTCATTTCGGTTCACACAGGATTGTTCTCTCCTGCAGGGCACAATTAGAATTGTGTGGATATCTTAGAATAGACCTACAGCATCATACAGCAATAAGCCCTTTATATCACACTAAACCTGCAGATGGAAAATAATTAAATGCACATCAATAGTACATTTTACGAGTGACACAATTCTTGTTTAAAACCTCCACAGTAAGCCAAATAACCCCATGAGGATTCTGGTCATTTTTAGAAGTACAGCTGCCCTGAGACTTATTGTCTTGGAGAGGTACATTTTGGATGTTTATTTCTACTCTTTTAATTTCTCTTATGTACAATGCCTTGTCTTCTTATGCTGCTGCAACGTAAACATTTCCCAAATTGGAATCAATAACGTACTTCTTATCTTATCTTATCTTAGGTGTGGAACGGAAAGTGCAGCAGTTCTTCCAGCGACTCTTCTGTTTGGCTGAAATCCTCCATGCCACAGTGGGGAGTGGGCAGGGGCGCCGTAAGGAGGGGAAAAGTTAGGACGATTCTAAGGGCCCGTGACTGACAGGGGCCCAAACCATTTGAGAACATTAAGAAAAAAATGTTTAAGTAACCAATGTGATATGGGGCCCAAAATCCCTGATGGCGCCCCTTGGAGTGGGTGAAGTACCAGCCATTGGAAGGAAATAAGAAAGTTATAAATGTAGCTACAGACAATCTAGCTACCTCTACATTTGACTTGGCATTCACACATCTTGTTCTTGTTGGTGGTGTTGGTGGCACATCAGGCCTGGTTCAGGACTGTGTATAGGAAGCAGGGGTCAGGTCTTCCTAAGAGAAAGGCAGGTTGTCTTTGTCGTCATCACTTCAATAATAAGTAAGAAGTTTGTTCTAGCTTGAAAAGAGATTTTAGCTTATAGTAACTGTAACTCTGACAGAATGAATACAGCAGGTTGCTGTACAAATCATTATTTTGTATCTAAAGAATGTTATTCTATTGACTAATCGCCTTCCTGAGCTATGTTTTGTATCTGTGATAAAATTAGACATTCAGTAGATGATGTGCTGATGGAGACAGACAGTGAGTAATGAATATAAAGAGGCTACCTGAGTCAGAGCATTCTGCTGCTGCTGCTGCTGCTGAAGTGTTGTTTCTTCACAAATTACATTCTCCATCTCTGTGTGTAATTTTAGCAAAGATTTACATTTTGCAATGTCATTAAAAAGCCAGCACATTCTGGCACACTTTTAATATTTTAAGATGAACATAACAATGAGTGATTCAGATGGTGCAGCTTATGTACTGTAAAGTCTAGAACTGACAGGTTTCCTTAAAAAGTGTGTTTTCATTGCTTTAGAAGTATAATATAATTTATTATAATAATCTTTAAAAGGACATAATGTCCAGAAATAACCTTGGCAATCATATACAATATAAAAATAAAGCCATATTAAATGGAAAATAGATTTTCTTAGTGACTTTTCAAACATACCTTTTGTGGGTTGGGTTGCACTCGAGGGGCCTTAGACACTTTTGGTCTATTTGTTTACAGGATTTTCATAGTTTTTGCTATAGCCCTGGGCCGAGGTGTTGTGTAAGTGTGAAGCCTAATGTGCCTCATAAATAAATTACATTTGCAAATCATCCATCCACTCAAGTTTGCAACAACAATGTCTATTGCCAAATTGGACAATTGTTTTCTCGATTCATGCAATCGTTTCGGAAATGTTTCGCCTATAAATTACCAATCCCAGTTATCTAAAATATGCAAAAATGTCAAGTGTTCTGGCACACAAGACACAAGATATATATTTTTTTAATTTCTTAAAAAGGACCTTGAAAGATTACCTAATTACCAAAAGGTTTTATTTAATTTCTGCAGGTTGATTAACCCTCCTGTTGTCTTCGGGTCAAATCTGACCGATTTACTACTTTCATCAATCATAACTTTTTGGTTTTAGATTCAATTGCATTAAGGCTTTATGATATCCTTCACAGTAGACATTTCAACATACATACATTTGCTGATCACCACTCTCATTGAATTTTGGATGACTTAGTCAACTTTGTAACACCCCTGGTGTTCCCGGTCAAAAATGACCTCCATAAAGAAAAGGAATTAGTAAACATCCGGATCAGATGAAACACACACACACACACACACACACACACACACACACACACACACACACACACACACACACACACACACACACACACACACACACACACACACACACTAGATGTGTGTGTGTGTGTCCGTTATGTGCCCATCCCCCCATGTGAATCACACTTGGCACACACAAACACACACACACACAACAATTTGACACATTTCCCGCTCTTATGTGCCCATCCCCCCACATGGATCACACCTGGCACACGCAATACATGTTCAGTGTCTATTCTTATATTTACTGCAGTTGTTCATGTATACCAGTAGTCTGATACAATATGTACAGTTTGAAAGGGTGTTAAATGAAATGTGGTGATGATTAATGGTTTTTGTGTTAGCAGTTAAAACAGGACCGGTCAAATTTGACTGCGAACACCAAAGTAATAGGAGGGTTAATCCCTATTTAAACTGACTATATCATATTACCTTGAATACAGTTGAACAGCCATGGGTTGATTGCCATGCTCCAAAGCTGCAGCTCAGTCTGGATAAAAAAAAAAATAGAACTCTGTGTGAAAAAATGTCTGTCACTGACTTTGTGCGCACGGCTTTAATATAATATAATGTAATGTTCTATTCTCTTTATGAAAGTTCAGTATGACAAAACCTCAGCACAGTTCTGTCTGTGCTAAATAACATCTGGGACAAAATAAGAACAGGTTGTTGCATAATGTATGAGTTTTAAGTTCCATCTGCCTTCTAGCCCGTGAAGAAATCTGCTCATGCTCACTGAATGTGTGTTCCCCGAGCAGCCAATTGCACAAGATGACAACGCTACAAACACAGCCACAGCTAAGACAACCATCTGGGAGGAAAACACAGTTGCACAATAGTTTGTGCTTACTCATTGTATAATCAGAACAATTGTGTTTTAATATCTGCATGTTTCGATGATTATTTGTCATTTATGTAACAATGCCTGGTGCAAAAAACAAAACAAAAATTAAAGGAGTGCTCAGATGAACGGATGAGTTAGGATAAGATAAACACTTTATAAAAGAAGAAAGGTCTAAAGCACTTTTCTGACAAACAGTAAAAAACATAGATTTAAACAGCTATTTCATAGTACATGTTAAAAACATAGGCTGTTTATACACGTTTAAATAGAGCTGAGCTTACAACCCATGTGTAGCTACACCAACAGCCTTCTTAAGTTTCCCCTTTTGTTGAAACAAGGGGAAAGCAAACACATGTTAATAGCAACCATCTGAACAAAAAAGCAATAAACTCACCAGTGGCAAATGCAAAGTGTGACCACTAGATGGCTCCTCCAACATGCGTAGAAGGAAGAACAAGATAGCAAGAAAAAATAATCAAATAGGACAACATGAATATATAGATAACAAGACAGTGAAATTATAAATATATTATAACATTACATCCTCATTTTCAGCAGCCAGGCCATGTGAAAAAGAGCAACTACATAAAAAGAACTGAAGTCTTTTTTTTCATTTAGTCCTGGATAATCTGTGGCCTACATTCGGGGTATATATTAGGTTTATCTCCACAGTATTACATTCAGCCAATCATCCCCTAACCTTGAACTTATTTGACAGCCTGTTCTAACCAGGGCATGTGTAGAGCAACTCACAGGGTATAGACTGTGAAAGTGCTAATACATTATTTAAATTATGAATTTTGGCTGACTAGCCTCGTTAAATACTGGATATCTTCCAAGTATATTATCATATGCAAATGTTAGCAAAGATTTGACTCATAACATAATCTTCATAGTTGGTAGTTACTTATCAGCATGATGAGAACTCAGCCTTAAATTCAGTAAAAGCACAGACAGGGGAATTTGCATACTTTCGTTTAACAGCATCTTTCTCACTTAGTTTAGGTGTTACAAGTTAAGTAAATAAAGACATGAAATTAAAACGGTGTTGGCAGTTTTTATTCTGTATGGTCAGCTCAAAGTGGTCAAAGTTGCTAGTACAGTTACTACACACTGTCCACAGGAGGGAGGAGGTGTGAAAACAACCATTTATGCAAGGTTTCCATTATAATAAACAGCCTCTATTATCAAAATGAATACTCAACAAACACACAAAAGTGAAGAGTAAATC